ATTAGATTCCAGCTGTTTTTTTTTTGTTTTTTTTTTTAGATGTGGCTCTTTATAAGTCATGGATGGTTATTAAGCAATTTATTAAAAGAATATGTTTTTTTTTTTATTCAATTGTCGGCAATTATTGATTTATAGTAATTGTTATTTTGTTATTACATTAATTGTTTAAATGCTTTAATTGAGTGTCAGTGCTTTTTCCCCCCTGAATGAATTATGTGGAATGAGAATTCTGGTTGATGGAGTGGCAGGCTAGCTAGTCAAAATAAGAAGAAGAAAAATTAATTTTTTTTCTTTAACTTTTAAATTACTTATAAGTCAATCCTTTAATTATGACTCAATCCCTCAACTATGACTCATTTATAACTCAATCTCTCAACTTTTGAATAACTTATAAATTAGTCTCTAACTTTTGTTAATTTTTTTTTTCATGTTAGCTTATATCTCATATAAATGAGCAAGAGGAGGGTATTTTAAATAATAATTTTTTTTTTCATGTTAGCTTATATCTCATATAAATGAGCAAGAGGAGGGTATTTAAAATAATATATAAGTTTTTTATCCTCTTATTTGATAAAATTTTTTTAAAAAAAATAAAAATAAAAGACTGAGTTATAGGTGAATCAAAAGTTAAGGGACTGAGTTACAGCAAGTTATAGTTGAGAGATTGAGTCGTAACGAGTCATAGTTGAAAACTGAGTTATAAGTGAGTTAAAAGTTGAATGATTAAAGATTAATTTTTCTAAAAAAATTACAAACCTAAATCACGTTTAGTTTGAAGTTGCCCATATTTATACATTTAATCCATATTTATATTCCTTCCTAGTAAAAAAAAAAAAGAAAAAGAAAAATACCACACTTTTGATCAAATATATATGCTTGTTCGAACAAGTGGCTAATCTAAATTATTCTGCTACAAACCAATGAAGACGGATCTTGTCCATAATGAGAAATTAAAAAAAAAATAAGGGTGAAAATATCTGTTTCCTCTAAATTTTTACCCTAATTTTATTTTTTCTCTATTTTTTTTTCCTATTCCAAACAAACAAAGCCAATGTCTTCGGCTAAGTTGAATATCATTTTTTTCTCAACACCTAATGATTCGCATTGTGTAAATTATGAATCATAGTCATCCATGCATTGAGTTTTGTCAACCAATGACTACAAAATTCAAGAAGCTAGTTATCAATTCAATTCTTTTAAAGAAAGTCGTAATTTGAAATGATAAGAAAAACATTAAAATAATTAAAATAATATTCCCCCTTGACAAAAAGCACTTTTTATTATAATTCAAGTTAGACCCTTCCGTACGTAACCTTTTTTCTAAGTTTGATTTTATTATTCTATTTTCATTAATCAGTTTACTTTTTTTGTTTTGTCTTTCTCCATTTTCAAAGATTAATTAATTTTAGCTATCAAGAAAAGATTAATTAATTTATTGATTCTTTTATTCTTCTTTCTCTTTAATAGTTGGCAAAGATTCAATGATTTCTGTTAATTTTTAATCAATTCATAAATTATAAACTATATAATGAGCTATATGAAATCATACGAAAGTCCTTAAATTCTATATGAAAAACCACATATCTAGGTGTACTCAATATTAACATTAATTTGGCAAAAAATTATAATGTTTTATAAAATATACAAATAAACATGAAAACACTATTTATATTAAAGTTACTACTATATAATTTATTTGATTTCTCATATTTTATGCAATAAAAATATTTGGTTCCAGGACAATGAAGCAAAGTAAACAGCTGACATCAATGAGAAATTGTCAATCAATCAATTATTAATTATAAGTTGTGTAATGTATAAACTGACAAACACTCTTTATCTTTGATTTTGAAGTTTTATAGGAAAATAAGTTAAGGGTTCCGTGTAAGGCATAAAATTTTTGCGTGATGTGCGACTATATCTTATGAAGAGTATCATGTGTTTAAACACGTAATACTCTGTTTTTAAACTTAAAAAAATAACCAATTCTGATTAAGTAAAATAATTATATCTAAAATTAAAAAGTTAAATTAAATTATCATGTAATTAGTGAAATAAAGTTATCTCATGAAAATAAATATTATCCTTTTGAAGTGTAATTCGAGAAAAATGTGATGAGATAAATTCTTTTTGAAATTTATAATTTTGCTTATAAAACATAATGAGACATATGACAATTTTTTTAATAAAGAATAAAGGAAGTGTATTTTTCCAATTTTAATTAGATTGTGTCAAGGTATTGAAATTTAGACTGGTGATTAAACTAATTAAGATAATGATTTAAGGATTTTATGGTTTAAATTGTGATTGAATCAAAATCAATTCAATTACAATTATTTTTTTAACTTAAAATGATGTCATTTTAGGCTTAACAAAGTGAGAACACAAAGACTAATTAATGACTATCCGTTAACTCATTAAATCTCTCTGAGAATTTAAAAATATGTAACTTTGCTTCTATTAATGAGAGAAATAAACACAACATTTAAATAGCTACATAAAAATATTAAATTAAAATTAAGATTTTAGAAATTTTTTAATGGTAAAATTGAAAATAATAATAATAATCCTCTATATGACTTATATTAAGCACACACAAATTTTGTCTAGAAGGTATTCTATAATAAGGATTAGGCAATAAGGCTGCTATCTTAGGTCTTGAGATGTTTACTTATACTTTGTATAACCCCAATTATTATTTTTATTGTTAAGCACTAATATAATGTTAATTAGATCTTCATATAATGTTAATTAGATCTTCCTATTACCAATTTACCATCCCGTATTTCACTCCGTTGATCGTTCCCATTCCCAACACTGTTTTAATTGGGCGGATCAAGAGGATTGGTTCACTAGTCATACTAGAGAGGTAGCGAACTTGAATTGATTTCAAATTTTCAATACCATCGATTAATCGAGTCAGGGTTTGTTCGCTTTTCAGTTCAGTTACTTAAAAAAACTTTTGAAATAAATTTTGGTTTCAAATATTATTTAATTTTTCAATTTTTAAGAATTTGACAGTTGAATGTGTTTTTGGCCCCAGTTTAAAATGGTAAAATTTTAAAAAAGTGAAATGTTATTTGATTATATTATCTTAAGTTTAGTCTTTTATTTTTTTATTAAAAAAATAGTTAACTTATTAAAAATATTAATTATTATTTAAATAATAATAATAATTAGATACCAAGTTTTTTAACATTATAAATTGAATAATTAATCATGTTAATTTTAATATTAATGTGTAATAAAATAATTTTTATTACATTTTCTAAAATTACAAACTAAAAAAGTATAAATAATTAGAAATTAAGTTTTTAGCATTATAGATAAAATTTTATATTATTTAAAAATCTTTATCATATTTTTTAAATATTTAAATATATTATATTTGTATAATAAAGATTATAATTATTAGAAATCAATACCTTGTTTGATAATTATATATTTAAAAACCACATTTTACTATCATAATTTAAACAACTTTTAATTTATCAAAATTAATTTTTTTAAAAAAAGGTCCAAATACATATTTCATTATAACAAATGACTTTACTAAACTAACTTTTGCATAATGAATTTTTAGCAAATGGATTTTATAAACTGAAAATCAAAACACACTAAATATAGTACTTCCTCCAATCCAATTAAGAGTGGGAATAGGCTAAGCTATTATCAAGAACCTACACCTTAGTCTACTATAGACCCAGCCTAGCTTATTTCTAAATAAGCTCAAACTAAGTTTAAACCTTTAATTAAGCCTATTTAACTGGCGTAACTTTTAAGGACTTGGCCTACGAGCCAAATAAACTAGCTATTTATACACACATATTATGTAATATGTTACATATACATCAGTTTCACCATTTAATTTTAATCATTTATTTTTTTATTTCTAATTTTTTTTCAGTTAGATTAGACTTATTTTATTATTTTATTATATTGTAGTTCGTAAGTCCCCTTAATTATTATATATTGTAGTTCATAAATTAGGCTATATTTATATTAATAGTCCTAATGTAAATTTGAATCATTTAAAATTAAAATGCGAGCTTATTTAAAAATACTTACTTTTAAGTAAAGTTTTAAATAAGCTTTAAATCAAGTCAGGCTTTATACAAGCTTTAGACTTGAGCCATGAGAAAAACCTTATACAAGTTTTAAATCAAGCTCAAACATTTGACTTATCATGCAAGTTCACACCTATTTGGTTAAAATTTGGCTCAACTTAACCTATTTTCAACCATAGTCCCAATCTATTAAACAAGTTGGGAAGATTTAGCATTTCAAAATATAAGATATTTTGACAAAAATAAGTTTTCATCAACCATATTTTTTTAATATTACTTTTTTTCATATACAATGACAGTCTCTTTAAACTTCTTTAAGTTGACAATATAAAATTTTCTTTCAAGTAATCTTAGTTCAAATAAAGTTATAGTACATGTAATTTTTTTTTATTTTACCACTTATATTTATAACCTAGATCTTTATATAATTTATCTCCAACTCATCATAAAGTGCATTGAAATTGAGATAAAAGATAAAAAAAATAATATATATTTTTATGAGAATGAAAACTTTGCTGGCACATGAATTTTCCTAAAACCTACTTATATTTTGCACTGAAAAAGAGTATTTTTTTATAAATAGAGTTATATGAAAAAAGGATTTTAAAAGTTTATATTTTTATTTAAAAATAAAATTATAAAATATATTTAATAATTTTATTTAATATGTTATATTTTTATTTAAAATATTTTATAACTTAAGATGGCGGAGCTATATTTGTGGATTGTGGATCATTAGCTGGAACAGGAATAATACTGTTAGGGGTTAATCATTCAATAAATTATTAAATTGTTTAATTTAATGACATGGTTCAACACGTTCTCCTGGGAGAACAACACGTGGCCAAGAAGCTTTCTTTATTTTCTTTCGCATGCCCCACACGCGAAGAAAAAGCGCGTCTCTTTTTTCTGCAAATACGAGCTTTTGAGCGCTCATTCACACACAACAACGTTATTCATAAACTCCATTTCGTTTCAATTTCAAACTCAATTTTGATCTCTAACACTCTGAGCCCATCTGAATACCGAAAAGTCTGATTTTTTTGTTTTCTTAGTTCTTGAGGTGAATCAAGTGTTTCGGCCATGGAGGTCTCGGCGACAATTGGGAGCTTTCAAGCAGCCAAGCTTGGAAGGTTTGATTTGGCTAATGGAGACGTTGGCTTCTGTAAACTTAGAGATAATCGCAGGTTTTCGACTTGTTTTAGTGCGAATACGAGGTTGAAGAAGGCTGGGATGCGCCTCGCTTTGAAAGCTCTTCAATCTGGAGTCGTTCGAGAGGAGAGGCAATCTGCATCTGGAAAGAGATCGACATCGGTGAGTTTAATATTTTATTATGTGTTTTGTGGTGTTTGGTTCATCTTTGACTTGGAAAAAAAAAAAAACAGAAAGAAACTTGCAACTCTTGTTTATTTGGTTGACTTGAACTTGAAATGAACTACTTATCTCATAACGTTGGAATTTTTTTATCTCCTTACGAAGTAGAATAGTCATCTTGGAGCTATCTAAGTTCTAGATCAGGCACCTATCGGAGTCAGAACTTCTTAAGCCAAATACATTTATTGGACTGGTCAACTTTTGAGTAATAATGATTCAATTCTTTGAAGATCAATCTTCTTGATGGTTTAAAAATAATTGTCTTAATTACTTTTTTTCATAGATGATATGTCTTTACCCTGATTGAGAAATACAGAATGTTTCAGTTCAGCTACGGAGTTTCTAGGAATAGTCTTCCCATATGGAATCCCAGTGCTATGGCATGCCTATCGAAGTTGAGTTAGCAAAATGAATTGGACAGAACAAAAATTTTCTGTAATCATATGTTAGATCAGGTAGGGGATTAATGTTTGATCAAAAAAATAAAAAAATGATTAATAGGAGAACATAATTGTCGTTTGATGTCCTGGCTTGCTTAAAAGGATTAACTCTTGAGAGCTTCCTTGCTACGATTTGCTCTCAACTTATCTCTTTGTCTGCATTTACCTATGTGATGGGAACCATGCCGGAACCTATTTTGTTTATAAAATATGCCTTCTATATCCTTGTCCACTGTTAAACATGAACGCTAGAATGATAGCATAGGGCAGCAATAGTCAAATACAATAAGCAAAAGGAAATATAAACAGCAACAAAAGACGCCCTTTGGTTTTTGAGAGACCAGAGTCCCATATACCACTCACTTATTCCTTAGCTTTCACTGATCCCATCACTCACAATGCTCTCTCTCTCTCTCTGCACCCCTCCAAAAAAAAAAAAAAAAAAAAACACATGCGTGCTCGCACATCACACCTCAGCCTATAAGTTAGCTATATGGATATGGTCCAGCTACCTGGGGAATTGGGTTTTAAAATTTTATAGCATCATTTTTGGATCAAAACTTGCCTTTATTTGGGTCACTTGCTGGTACTCTGCTTCTGGCATATTGATCATGTGCATTGCTGAATTCAACCCCAGTATAGTTGATGGTCAAAGTGGTGGCAAGGTTAAGGAGAGAGGAATGACCTTTTTGGGGCTGGGAGAAGGATGGGGATTGCATTTAGTGGCACATTTTCCTTTTTTTCCTGATTGACATTAAATAAGATTGAGAGTTACTGTTTTTGACCTTTTTTTCTCAAAAGAAAAGAGAGTTATATCTTAAATTTGTAATTATTCAGAGGATAAACAAAGGGAAAGTGTCAGGAATTCAAATATGGCTAACTTGCATGAAACTGTATTGTGCAGGGAAATGCGTCAGATTGTTTGTGGGGCGCCACTAGATGCAGTTTCTTCAGACTGCAAAACGATAAACAATGCTAAAGCAATTGCAGCTGGCATGAAAGCATTGAAGCTACTAGAGGTTGAGGGTGTTGAGCTTCCTGTTTGGTGGGGAATTGTTGAGAAAGATGCCATGGGAAAATATGATTGGTCTGGCTATCTTGCTGTGGCTGATATGGTTGACAAAATGGGTCTCAAGCTCCATGTATCTCTTTGCTTTCACGGCTCTAAAAGGCCATATATTCCACTACCCAAGTGGGTGTCCCAGATTGGTAAATCCAAGCCCAGTATTTTCTTCACAGATCGGTCTGGAGAATACTATAAAGAATGCCTCTCATTAGGGGTTGATGATCTTCCTGTTCTTAATGGGAAAACCCCAGTCCAAGCCTACCAAAGTTTCTGCGAGAGCTTTAAGTCTGCATTCTCTCATTTCATGGGCTCTGCAATAACGGTATGGATTTGGTATTCTGGAACCTATTATTTGCTCTGATATCAGTGTTCATATTAATTATAGGTAAATAATTGCAATATATTTTTTCTATAAGTTTGGCTCACAATCAGTTTGTTTTCCTGTGGATTAAAGTGTCATTTAATAGCCCCGTTATTTCTGCCATTTTGCTTGATCATTACATCTTATTTTACCACTTAATCACATGTCTTGGAATGACGAACAATTTTGTTGTTAAAAGTCTGATTCACTTATATCTTCCACCTTTTTTTATTTTAGAATAATATCTTGAGGTCATTGCTAGAATCATGCAGATGATGTTATTCCAAATGTCAGTTTATCTCCAGAACCAGCCTCAGAAGACCATGAAATTGTTCAAGATATATGTGAAACATGTTTTCAATGATGAAACTATTTATCATTTTACCATATTAGAGCCCTTTTTTTCCTCGCCAATAATCAGAGGATTAGTTAGTATGTTATAAACCACAATAGTTAACTATAATTTAGAGCCGGAAATAAGGGCTGAGCTTGGAGGCTCTGTTTAAAAGGGTTCAAGCTTTGAAAATTGAATTTATTTAAAGTAATCAGGCTTTAGGGCCTGGCCTTGATAAACCCTGTAAAAAAGGACTAGGGGTTCAAGGGGCCTTTTAAGTCCTATTATATGATTATTAATTTTTTTTTTTCAGTAAAACATGCTTTTGAAGCCAAGAAGGACCTGCTCACCTAAAGCCCTGATCCTACACATGTTATATTATTATTAATTTTAATTTATTCTAAAATTAATTTAATAAATATTAGTGTACAGTATAAAATATCTAATATTTTTTATTTTTCTATAATTATTATGTTTATGTATTTTAAAAAAATGAACTGTTTTTTTAACCAAGATTTGAATTTTTTTACTAAACTTCTAGATGTTGTTGTTTAATTTTTAAAAGATTATGAGGATTTTTTTTTTAATTTTAAATATTTTAATTAATTATACTGCTTAATTTTATTTTATTTTTTTTAATTTTTTTCAGAATAGGCTTATGGGCTTGGAAAAGGAGTGAAAAATAAAAAAACTGGCCCATAAAAGCCTTGCCTATAAGGGTTGAGCCCGCCTGTTTTTCCAACTTTAACTATAATTCCCCTAAATTTATGTAATTGACAAAGTTTTCTTGCTATACTGCAGGGAATTTCAATGGGATTAGGACCAGATGGTGAGCTGCGATATCCATCTCACCACCAGCTACCCACCAACAGTGGAACTCATGGGGCTGGAGAATTTCAGTGCTATGACAAAAACATGCTTAGCATTCTCAAGCAACATGCTGAAGCATCTGGAAATCCTCTATGGGGTCTTGGTGGTCCCCATGATGCCCCTGCCTACAACCAGTCACCAAACTCCAACTGCTTCTTCAGAGATGGAGGATCATGGGAATCTCCATATGGGAATTTCTTCCTCACATGGTATGCTAATCAGCTTTTAACCCATGGAGATCGCCTCCTTTCTGTAGCGGCTTCAACTTTCAGCGACACTGAAGTGTCTACATATGGTAAAGTCCCGCTAATGCACTCTTGGTACAGAATGCAATCCCATCCTTCTGAGCTGACCGCTGGATTTTATAACACTGTTAAAAGAGACGGTTACGAAGAAGTTGCAAAGATTTTTGCAAAAAATTCATGTAAAATGATATTACCTGGAATGGATCTTACAGATGCAGTTCAGCCGCAAGAAATTCTGTCAAGTCCTGAGTTGCTACTTTCACAGATAATGGCAGCTTGTAGGAATAATGGGGTTGAGGTTTCAGGAGAAAACTCTTCAGATTCTGGTGCTTTTGGAGGATTTGAACAGATTAAGAAGAATATTGTAGCAGGAGATAATGTGCTGGACCTGTTCATGTATCAGAGAATGGGAGCTTGTTTATTTTCGCCAGAGCATTTTCCTTCATTCACAAAGTTTGTTCGGAGCCTTAAGCAGCATGAAATGCATTCAGATGATGTAGCTGCTGAATCTTTTGCGAAGAACTCAGCAAATAGCATGCAGATATAATTCTTGTTTATGATGATAATTTTGTATGTAAATATTTGTAATGAAAATATAGATGCATCGGATATAAACACTTGAATACCAGCTGGGTATGCTTCATCATCCTCAAACGTGTATGGTTCAATTATTGAAATACTAGGAAGAGAAGAGCTAGAGTATAATGATAAAGTATAACATGGAAGTTCAAATTTTAATAGACTTCTTTCGGCATGAAATTCTATTATCTCAAAAGAGAGAGAGAAAATATATGTTCTTGAAGTGTCTGCGGATATTTTCAATTTTATTTTATTTTATTTTTGTTTTTATTGATTTTCAGTGGGTTTAGGCATTGCAGGGGTAAAAATCCTTTGTGTTGGATTTAATAACTGATTGAGTTTTATACGCTACTTATTCCAGTACAAAATATAAGAGTTAGTTGAGAATTTGTTTTTGTCATGAATTTAAGATCAATCTTCTTTTGTCTCCTAAACTTTTTATATTTTCTCAAACTATTGATTCAATTAATAGGGACTGTTTTAATGTAAATGATTCAAATGAGAGATAACTTAAAAAAATTGACGCTCATTTTTTTTACAAATAATTAATTTAACTAATTTCTTTAATATATATGAGTTAATTATCTAACTCTTGCATTTAATTAGAATCTAAGTGAGTATTATTTTGAGGTAGAAGAGGGGTTGCTTGTTGGTGACTGGAAGTGGAAATAATGGTGATAGGCAGATTTTGCTGATTTGCAGATGTGGTTGAGTATGAGAAATGATGGATTGTGCTCACAATTCTTACTCCCTTCCTTAAAAAATATAAAGTATTTTTAATAAAATTTCATCCTCAATAAATTAGTTATTTACTTTCAAACTAATCCTATCTTTATACATTTACTCATATTAAATACCCTACAATAAATATAAAAATTGTTCATTAACAGGGATACTTTTAAAAAAAAAGATAATGATTACACTTTAAAAAACTAAAAATGCCTTATATTTTTGAAATGAAGGAGTATAAGGGAGTTTTCAATAATTAGATATACAGATCCTAATTTGATGTTGATTTTTATTTTTTTGATTATTTGTTGATTGTTTCTGTTTTACAATACTTTACACCAAAACTTTATGCAGCAAGTTGATAACAAACAAGATGGTGGACAAATAAGAGTTGGATCTAATAGAAGAAAATCTCTTACAATATGATAAATTAAGATTTGAATCTTTATTGAAAGAGATGTCTGCATTTAATACTTAATCATGCCTCAAATATAATTATTTTTAATAGAAAAACAAACCTGTAAGTAACCAAAAAAAATAACTAGGTGATGAAAAGCTTTGATTATTTTATATACTACAAAAAAAGGGATATTCTATAAGAAACATCCAATAAAACATATAAAAGATCAAGTAAAATTGAATGGTTGCAAATACTATTACTTGAATTTAGCTAAAGCGCGTAAATATTAATAAATAACTTGGCTTGATTGTACATCTTTATCTTTTTTTTTTTTTAAATTTCCAAGGACATAGTCAAAATTTGGAACGATGTGGTCGGGACTGCTGCTATACAAACCACATCCTTGGTTTACATCTTTTTTTTTTTTATATTTTTTTAATTTGGGTGCCATTTGGTACTATAGATCTATTTTTCTTTTTCTTTTTTTATAATTATAACAAATATAATTATGATATTATAAAAAATATTATAACAAATATACATATATACGTTTTAGGGCCAAACAAATTTATATAAGTGCAAAAATAAATGAATTGTATACTACTAGAAAAATAAAATTAGTGACATAATTTTTAACCAAGTTTGGCATGGATGATAATTAAATAATTATTTAAAAATATTATTTTATTTATTATGTTTATTTAGTAATAGAGTCAGGAATTCGTACATGTCCAAATTTTATTTTTAAATTTATTTTTAATTTAAAATTAATTATTTTATTTTATAAAAAATATAAAATATAATTTTTGGGCCAGAAAATGGTGCATATCACTCAATTTTTTTTTGAAAAAAATTGAGTCTTAAAATATAAAAATTAATATTAAAATATATTTTAATTATTATTTTGAGGTATTTTATTTGATTAAAAATAATAAAAATAAGAAAATATAAATATTTTTATTTTTTAAAATAAATATAGTAATACACTCAAGTATATAGTATTTTAGAATAAAATGGTATAAAACTTTAAAAAAATTAATATTTATTATATTATATATATTTTTAAAAATTTATTTTTTTCTATTTGGGTATTCGGGCTTATTCGGGAAGGCTCGAACAATAAAAAATTATTATTATTTTTTAATTCAGGCCTAAATTTTTTGAGCATGTTTGGATTGGTCTATTGGGCTTGATCCAAATTATCGACTCTAAAAAACATCCAATAAAACATATCAAAGATCAAGTAAAACTCAATCGTTACAAATACTATTACTTAAACCTGACAAAAGCGTGTTAATATCTATAAATAACTTGACTTGATGGTACATTTTTATCTTTTTTTTTTTTAATGCGCAAGATAGATTCAAACTCTAGAATGATGCGATGCTACTATCCGAGCTACATCCACTTGGTTTATATCTTTATCTTTATATTTTGTAATTTGGGTGCCATTTGGTGCTATAGATCTAAAATACCAATGGTACCCCATTTTTTTTCCTTTTTTTATAATTATAACAAATATAATTATGATATTAAAAATATTATAAGAAAAATACATATATACGTTTTATGGCAACAAAAAAATTAATATAAGAGAACAAAAATACATGAATTGTATATAATTAAAAATTATAATATATCAAAATACATAACATAAATCATGATCACAAGGCAGCATTAACCTTGGTTACATCATTACATGTAATATTTTTCTGGGAAATTTCTTGGATGTGGAAATTAACAAAATATATTGCCAAGTATTAAAATTAGTAGAACTTCCTCTTGCGCGTTCTTCAGTCTTCCTTTTTTGGAAACCATTCCACAAGTTAGCATTGAATCAACCTTTTCATATAGCAGCTAATATGAATATGTGACTAAATTTGAGTCTTTGCACCACTTCACAAGTTAGAATACATAGCTACACTCCGTCAAATACACTAATGGCATTTTTGTCTTATAATGGGGGATTTTCAAATGTTTTGGAGATTTAAAAAAAAGTGATTTATTATTTAATAATTCTAAAGTTTTATAGTATTTCTATGGATCTTTATGCATAAGAAATAATTTATCATTCACTTAAAATTTGAGTTTTATAATATCTTTGTGCATCTTTTTGATAACATTCTTTTTCATATATGTGTGTGTCTAATTATTTTCAAAAACTACTTTAAGTAACTTCTCAAAATAATCAATTTTTTTTTCACATTTTGATTATATTTAAGAGCATAAACAAGGGATTATTTGTTTATTTATTTTTTTTGGTGAATTATTTGTTTGTTTATTTACTTTGCCGATAAGGTAAATGTCAAATTCAAATTGAGATGGGATTAGAAAAAAAGGGCTAAATTTTTTGGCGCAATGTTTCCACGCAAATTGAGATGGGATTAGAAAAAAGTGAGGGAAAATTGTACCAAATTTAAAAACGATGAGAGTGACATTGCGCTTAAAAAAACTCAAAGATATCAAATGCATTTGCATGAAAACTTTGAGAATAAATTTATACTTTAGCCTTAGAAAAAATATAGGAGATTTGATCAAGGACAATTTTGTATTTTAAATTTTATATTTTGGTATTTGATCCTTTTCAAAAATTACTATTTTTAAGATCCTTCCTAATAAATATTATTTTCTCTAGTTCCTTAGCAATAATTTTCCCTTTAAACAAGCATGATAAAATGTCCTAAAAGTTATTTAAAAAAAAGAAATTATTTTTTAATTCAAAACCCTTAAATAAAAGTGTCATGAGAGTCTTTAAACCATTAAACAAGTTATCAATAAATTGACTCAACATTCACTCATCTCTCTCTCTCTCTCTCTCTCTCTCTATATATATATATATATATATGTATCTCTATGTATATTCTAACAATGAATTTATCAATCATCCTCATTTCCAGTCTCTTATAAAGGTACCAATCTCCTTCTTGTCTTCTCACCCAACTTCCATTGGTAGAGCGTTAAATTCCTTTACAAGCATGAGAAGATCTCTCAGTGATGCCATTGAGATTATCTTAATTTCCATTGAGTATCTTCTGCCAATAACAGAGACTAATCTCCTTTGTAATGTGGATGGCGAACTCTCAACTAAGTTTGCTCTGTTCACAAGAGATAGCCTAATTATTTATTATCCAATCAAATGAACCCTATAGCAAACTCGCTAGATTAATGTATTGTTGTCATGAACTTGAGCAACCATTCAAAACTAATAAGATTCTGAGCTCAAATTCTAAAATCTAGACACACATACACATGCACAAATATATGTGTGTGTAATTAATTAATTAATTAATAAGAAATATTACAATTAGAATTAGAATTTCAAATTATTATCAAATTAAAAATTGAGTTATTATAATTATAACATTATAAAAAATATTATAACAAATACACATATATACATGTTCTATGGCCAAAAAATTAATAGATAAGCACAAAGATACATGAATTATATAAAATTATAAATTAATATAGTAAATAGATATCATATTTTTACCTAACATTATATATATAATTGTGGCAAAAAAACCACTATATTTATAATCATTGTCACAAATTACAAGATTTAATCGTCCCCACAAGGCGACATTAACTTCGGTTACATTTAATCTTTTTTCTGAAAATTCTTCAATGTAAAAATTAACAAAATATATCGCCAAGTGTTAATATCAGTGTGACTTCCTTACACGTTCTTTAGTCTTCCATTTTTTTTTTGTTTTTTTGTTATATAAGTATATGTGAATGGGCAAGTGAAGTTGAGTCTTGGAACCATTGCACAAGTTAGCATTAATCACTTGGTCTTCTTGTATTGCTACTATCAATATGTGGCTCAAGTTGAGTCTTTGCACCACCGCACAAGTTAAAGGGCCCGGTTTTTCCCTTAAAAAAATAAGTGATTTTTAAATATTTTTGAAATATTATAAAAATAGAATTATTATTTAACAATGTTAAAATTTTATGATATTTTATGAATATTTTTTATAAAAAATATTTATTATTTAATGATCATTTTCATAAACTACTTAAAGTAATTTCTC